GTTACTGCCATGGTCTCTCGACTGTGGTTCTGCTTTCACACTCGCTCCCTGTGTAGCCTACTCAACTCAGTAGGTAAGGCAACGCTGATGAAACATACAAGAACACGTATTCCTTTGCTCAAAACTCTACAAGTTACTATTCCGTACAGGGTGAACATAGAAGTCAAAGTTGTTACCCTCTTCCCTGGATCTGCCCCTTGTTCCTTCCCCAGAGTCCTTTCCTGCTCCTCTCCTCCCTGTTCCATCCACATGGACATCCAGGCCTCCTGATGTTCTCTAATCATGTTGCCCACATTCCCGCCTTAGGGCCTTTTCTTTGCTGTGCTGGAAATGATCTTCCCCAAGATGTCCCATAACTCGCTCCCTCCCTTCCTAAGGTCTTCATTCCAGTGAGGCCTCCTCCACCACTCTGTAAGATCGCAGCTCCCTCCCTGCACTCCCTTTTTTGGCTTCTCTGCCTTACTTCTTTCCCTAACACTTACCACTATGCAATATATTACATGTTTCACTTGTTTATTTCCTGTTTCCCTCCACCCAAATGCAAGTTCCAGGAGGGTACAATGATCATGGACATGAGACCTGAGGGGGACTGCCATGAAATGCACCCTGGGGCTCTTCTCAGCACTGGAGCTCCAGAGGCTTCCTTCTGCCTGGCCTGGAAGGGAACAGAGAGGTCTAGGTGGTTACGGTAGCAATGGCAACCTTGGCTGAGGGAAAGTAAGAGGCCCCTTCCCGATTTCCCAGGTACACTATAAGCCCGAGAGAGAGCAGGCAGGAGGGGAGAGAGGGATAAGACAGGAAATGAGTGGGGGAAAAGGAGAGAAGTGGGAGGGGAATGCGGGCGGGGTGGGGAAGGAGAGAGAGAACTAATAAAGACTGAGATCGAATTCACTAAAACCAGATGGAAAGAGGGCTTGGACTTATTTGAATTAAGGAAAATTTTTATTATGTGACATTTCCTACATATCTAAGTTTATGAAGCATAATTAATTCATACTCACTGCAACCGTTCTTATTACTTGAATAACAGAAAGAAATAAGTGGACAGAACAAATCTTGCTTGGTGCCCACCATGAAAACCAAATCTAGAGACGGAAATACAAGGGTGAGAACTCTCTCCCTCTCCTCCAACGCCTGATGTGGCACGCCATGCTTAATCGTCCTTTTCAGAATCTCCTCCGTGATTTCCTAATATGCATCTGAGTCATCCTCACTTCCTGGGTTCTCCCTCTTGGGTGGAAGCAATGCGGCTAATGAGGAGAGGTTCAGCTCAGATTTGTCTGATGACCAGAAAAGCTGACTCTTGGATCCTCACTCCCCTGGTTGCACAAAGGTGCACCTGTTTTGTTTTGTTTTGTTTTGTTTTGTTTTTCATCCTCCCTCACTCCAGCAGGAATTGCCCACAGAACCCCGTGTGGACCCCAAGATGCCAAGACGCCAAGCCTCATTAGCCAACCCGGGCTGTTGGTTCCTCTGCCTGAGACTCAGGACCTCAGTGTTTCCCCGCAGCACCGTGCCATGTGGAACTCCATGCAGCTTTTGAAATCTGGCGTCCTCACAGAACAGGGACAACCTGTTCACTGAGGGGAGGAGCTGCTTGTTTGTTTCAGCTCTGGATGCCAGAAAAGAAAAGGAAAAAAAAAGAAATCAACTGTTTGCCTATTTGGCTGGTATTCGGGCAGAAAATCTCTATTTTCCTCTCCCCCCACGCCCCCTTAGGGGTTAATCTCTTTTGCAGAGGGTCTGAGATGAAAAGATGTGTATTCTCTTATAACCTCTGGCCATTTTGTTCCTGACACCTTGGGAGCCCTATTTCTGGTCACTTTTCAAGCCTATCTGAAATTGACTTCACTTTCACAGCCATCAGTTTCAATGATTTTGAAATGATCCAACTGATATTCGAAGGGAGAGGCAGATTATTTTAAATTCTGGGAAGAGGCTGTAGGGGTCCCATGATAAATTCCCTGGCCTTACAAGCAAATTAAAATCTCAGCTCTTTTTTTTTTTTTTTTTAGACTCCTAGAGAATGAGATACCTTATCCTCTCTAAATACATCCCACCGTCAAATCATTGATTATGGCAGAAAAGTACTCAGTCAGCACAAGTTCTGGCGTTTACTTCACGTTTGCCTAACTTTCTAAAGTTAGCCACGCATTTCCAGTGAATGGTGGATCCTAATCTAGACTGAAAAGCAGCCACGGGCAATTATCACCTTAAATAAGTGGGGGGAAATCAATACTTATTTCTTTTTCTGTGTCAACGGAAATGAAGAAGCCACCACGGCGTTGGCTGCTACAAAAAATACATATCCTTCGACTCTCTAAGTTCATATGATGGCCACAATTTAACAAGAATCACAAGTCAACAAGGAACACAGTCAGACTTCCAGAATACAAGCATTCATGCTCACGACAGTCTGAGGTGTTCACGACGGTCTTTGCCGGTACATGTCCCTATTCGTTTCTCTTCCCTGAGTCTGTCTGTGTTACTGCTTTATTAGGTGTCCTCCCTTGTAGCTTTCCACATCCAAGCTCCTCTATTACATGTTTATGTCAGGTTGGAAATCAGAGCTAAAAATAAGGCCAGAAAAACATGGATTGATGTTTACAATAAACATTTATTTCGCACTGACCTGACCATACCAGGTGCTAGGGTTGCCGGGTGACAAAGATGAGGAGGACTCAGGCTCTGCTCATGAGGAGCTCGCAATCTGCAGGTGACAGAGGGCTAGGCAGGCAGGCAAAGGCACAGAAGCCCTGGGTCGGAAGAGATAGGGCCTCTTATTCGGAGGCTCGCACAGTGTGGAAACGGGGATTATGGGGTGAGTAATGGAGTCTACAAGAATCAGTGTGTGTGTGTGTGTGTGTGTGTCTTATGATAACATTTCACCAAAGGGAAGATTTTCAAGCTGAGGCTTGGAATGTAGGTTTCTATCAATAACTAGAGTTGGAAGAGGCTGGAATTTCAGCAAATGTCAAAACAGGCGGAAAACACATCCGACGAGGTATGTCATTATGTCATTTATGGGAAACTGCAAGTAGCTTTGGATGGGTGCGACAGAAGATCCAAAATGCATGATGGAGGAGAAACTAGAAACACAACAGATGAAAAGAAACGGAAAGACTTTCCTTTAGCAGTGAAACCAGAAGGGGTTGGGTTAAGAAGGTCAATTAGATCTGACCGACAACAGCAGATTGTGCTGACATTAGACCAAAATGCCAAATATTTGCAAGGCAAATCTTTCTAATCTGAAAAGAGATCTCAGCCTCCTTCCCTGAACTAAAAGAAGCTAGGAGATCTTATGGAATGGTGATAGTTCCCCAGCTGGACTCATTGTTTACAGGGACTGCCCCAGGCCCTGAACAAGTCATTCTAATGCATGAAGGAGTGCTTTCCTAAAAGGGAAAAGGCTCCTCGCTTGACCTGGAAAATGAGTCAGATAAACAAGACAGGCAGCTACCTAGAATCAGGTTTTGCTAATGTTAATTCTACATCCCCAACATCCTTCTTTTGACTCCATTATTGTCTTGACTGACAGAGGGACATTTTAGTACCATGACAAATATTCCAGTGACAGCCAACTTCTATCAGGCCATTTCAAAAGATGAAGAGAGGGCAGATGTTTACGTGGCATTGTCTTCATCACACAACCTATTCTTTTAGAGGGAAAATTCTTTAAAAGACAGAGAGAACTTCAAACAACATGTTCAGCTGAGAGCGACTGAAAAATGGCAGGTCACCGGAGTCCAAAGTTAAGTGATTATGAATTTGATATTCCTATTTTGGATGGTCTTTTACTTGACTGGTTGAGTCTACAGGTAGTAGAAAGTCCAAATGATTGGGCTGAACAGGTTAGAGCATCCACAGAAGGCAATGAAATGTCCCTGAAATACATGTAACTCACCCAGAGGAAGTTTAATAACATCTTTTTCAAGTCATGTGGTTTGAACCCAGGGCTGTCATTCTGGGGGAATATAAATTCATTATTTCTTAATTCCAGATCTCCCTGGATGAAGTTCTGCTATGACCCTTAACCCACAGAACTCTTACTGATCTCATGGAACAGTTATGGGCTCAATGATGGAAATTCTCATGTCATGGTTACCCCAATGCATTTGAAGATGGTGCAATGACCAACAAAGATGCCGGTGATGACAATTGAACGTCCCTTTGCCTTCCCAGCCTCCTTCATATATTCTCAGGCATAGGATGACAAAGGGAAGTCCACGAGTCACATGAAGAAAGACTGTAGCCATGGGTACACGATCAGGAGCTTCTCTGTTTCTCTTCACCCCACCCTCCATGCCATCACCCCGCCTTACTTCCTCCTCATTCTTTGTTGCTCCTGTGGATTCCTCCGCCATCTTGCCACTAACCACTGTCTTCTGCCCAAAGTTCTGCTGCTGATGAATTCCAACTGAACCAATGTTCTACCCATGTGAGACATGGAGTTTATGTTCCAATAGTTGCTGAATGAAATAATAACCTCCAAACCCTCCAAGGTAACATGATTTTAGGGGAGTGTCTTTTTGAGTGAAATAATGCTTCCTTATGTAGGGTAAAAGGAGCAAGGGTTCTGGAATCACATGAGCCTGGTTTGCGCCACTCTATGCCACTAACTGGATTTAGAACAAGGGCTTGGTTACTCTGAAATGCTGTTTCATTAACTATAAAAAAGGAAGATAATAATCCCTACCTTGAAAGGTTGCTGTGAGTATTAAGAGAGATAGTATGTATGAATGCCCAGCATGGTGCCCGGCACATACTGGGGCTGCAAGAAATGCTTATCTCCCTCCTCCCTGTCTTACGTGGGATTTTAGGATGATAAATAATAGGGAGTAACTAATCTCCAATGTGGCTAAAAGTCTAAGAAAGAGATAAACAACAGTCATAGGGAGAGATAGTGTTAGGAATATCTAAAGGAAACGAATGGTTTTTATGGTTAATTTTCTTGGTTGGGGTTTAAGAGAAGATTCAGGTTGTCCATTAATTATACTTACCAATTGGGTCTAATTGGCAACTACCCCAAAATGAATAAAACAAGCGGGAGTCAAGAGAGAAAAACGGCAGGCATCCTGTCAAAAAATAAAATCTTTGAAATTTCTACAACCCAGTGGTTGAATATACATTTTATTAAAGAAGACAGACTCACCCAATTTATAAACGTGTGCACGCAATGGAAATCTAAGTCGCACATTCAGACTTTCACAACGCATCACCAGCCGTCTGCACCGGCTCTACCACGTCTCATCACTCTACCTGTTGGGTCCTTCAAACCAGCGTCCCCTAAGCTGGAGGAAGCATCCCTTGTGATTCTGCTTTAGCCTAGGTGACTGCTCTGGTGGTCAAAGGGTTAAAGGAGGCACGTGTGTCCAGTACTCCTAAGGATGCTTAGCCCTTGGTAAATCCTCAAGAAATGGCTCTGGCCGTTGTTATAGTGATTCTAATCACAATTAGGAATTTGGCTCTGTGTTTTCCAAGATTGAGCAAAAACCGGATTGTCCCCTCTCTCCTTTTAAAGACACTTGTCTGTTTTTTTTGGAGCCATGTGTCCTGTTTCCAGGTGACTGGCTTACTTTTGACCTAAAAGGAATATTTCCCCCCCATTGGCTAATGGACTTAACTTCTTTTCCTTTTAAAGATAAATTGAAACGAATGCTGATATATCACTCAACATGCATATTATTTACTGAAAAAATTCCATTTGTCACTCTTTTCTTTCTCTTATCACCAAGAAAATGACTAATTAGATAGATACAGCCATATATACATTATCTATCCATATCGTGTATCTGCTGCTTCCTTCCTTCCTTCTATGTATGCATGTATGTATCTATCTACAGAAAAAGTCACCAAAGCCATTTCATTATAATAGGTTTCCTTACTAATTTGGCTGTATTATCCCAAACTGGGAGGTAAATTTAATTGTAATATCCTGCCTCTGGAGTTGTTAATTGACTGAAGAAGCTAGCTCGGGTTAAGATGATTCAGTATTTCATTTCAAATCTAGGCCTCAGAGGACAATCCCATGAACATCTGTTTCTGCCCCTCTGTTTCTTCCCTGGAAATGACATTTATGGAAGCCCCCACATCCTCAAGTTATGTCTTCTGGCCCCAGCTTCCTAGGATCAAGCCAGACTTCTAGAGCAGCCTCACTGGGGGCGGTGGCTGGGCAGAAGGTAGGTGGTCGGTGAGAGACACAGTAGGGTCTTACCCACTTTTATGGAATATTACTTGGTGATTCCTCATTGTCCACAACCTGGCTGAGCTGCCTTTTTGTGAGAATGTATCCAGTGGGCAAAACACAAAGAAGCACACAATGTAAGGATCGGTTCCTCTGGATTCTTGAGAGTTTATAAAATAATAAGCCAAGAGTAACTACTGTGTATTTTCCAGAAAGTTACCAATTAGCATGTTCCTGAGAACACAGATTCAACTTGGGAGCATACGCCTCCCCAGGCTGCTCTACCACTGTGCACAACAATTAGACTGCTGGCTAGGCACTCTGAGCAAAGCTGTAAACAGACAACAGCACAAGCCCTCCTGGAAATTTAGCACAAGCATTTGGTTACAGAACCAAGCACACAACTGGCTGAGCTCTGTCTTTCCCGCAGAGTGAACAGCACCGTGGTATTTTCACTTTGTTCCTTCTTTCCTTCCAGATACCAAACTCTAACTAACAAAAGTTAAAATGACATTTTAGTGAAGATCAACCAGATTCGTTGAAGATTTGTTGCGTAATTGAGAACGGAAATGTCCAGCCATCTGGCATCGGCTGACTGTGACTCCAACTATCTTGTTATTTCCTTGATTACCCTTCTGGGCATGATGGAAAAAGTGGTCTCAAGGAGGAAAATGGGGACATTAAAGGGCCAAGGATTTTGCTTCCAATGAGGCTGATGCCCTAAGGACCCTGCTTTCACTCCTTGCTGGGATGCAAGGAGAACCTTTCCTAATCTGGGTTCCCTGGTGTTGTGCTAAATAGAGTAAGAAAAGTACCTCCCAAACGAACACATTGACTATGCTGAGCAGCAGACTTGAAGTGTGGTGTTTTGAGCTGAGATCTGTGCCAGCTAATGCACGGAAGGAAAAGGGGCAGGATGTGTGACGGTTTCCAAGGGGGCTTTCCTACCTGGAAAATGAAGGTGATGAACTACATGAAATACACACACACACACACACACACACACACACACACACATATAAATATCTGTATAAATATATATAAATAAAAGCGTATATACAGTTGTATATATAGTATATATGATAATAGTGTATATATATGATAATAGTGTACATATATGGTTATATAGAACCCATGAAATGAGCAGCTTTGTACCTGCCCCATCTGTACATCTCTATATATGTAATTATATCCCAGGTATCATATATTATTCTATAGTTATCTTTATACCTGCATGGTAAGGAGTATCTAGAAAAAGAAAACAATGAGGGGCGCCTGGGTGGCTCAGTGGGTTAATCCTCTGCCTTTGCCTCAGGTCATGGTCTCAGGGTCCTGGGATCGAGCCCCGCATTGGGCTCTCTGCTCAGTGGGGAGCCTGCTTCCCTGTCTCTCTCTCTGCCTGCTTCTCTACCTACTTGTGATTTCTCTCTCTATCAAATAAATAAAAAAGGAAAAAAATTAAAAAAAAAAAGAAAGAAAACAACAAAACATATGTATCTTTTCCTTATGATCTTGTTATTTGTCTTCCTTAAAAAACTAACCACTAGGCTATTTGAACAAAGTCTAAACAGACCTTGTTTAGATTTGCAGCTAAAATAATGCAACCCGATAGGCTAAACAAGTTAATGAGAGCAGAACAATTTCAGTTCCACCACAGACCAGGCACTCCGTTTCTGGATGTCCAAAGCTCTCACCCACATGGCTTGCAAACCATCACTCACATCCCACCCCTCAAAATCTTACTGAAAATACCTCTGCCGCATAGGCCCTTGAGCATTCCACCAAGAAATACTCTTCCTCTGAACTCCTGTCGTAGTTCATGTCCTTAAAGGGCACGTAACACTTGCTGCTCACGATAATGCAGCTCTTTGTGTCCCGAGCGGAAACAGCCCGGTGGTGGCGGCTCCGACGCAGGCAGACTTCTTGGCTCTGCCTCTTATGACTAGTGTGACGTCAGGGCGGTCGCTTGACCTCAGTTTTCTTTTTGGTCAGTGGGGATAATCAATGGTACTCACTTCCTAGGGTTGTCGTTAGGGGTAAATCATGATGTCTTGCAAAGTGCTTAGAATAGCACTGAACACTAGTTATTGTTCACCGGTTTGTAAAACCTGAATTCTCCAAGTGCACAACTATGCCTTATTTGTCTTGCGAGTCCCGCGGTGCTCTGTATGTCACAGGCACAGGCGCACAAGCCAATACTGGTAGAGCCACAGGAGCACCGTCGAAGGGAAATCTAACAGAGCGATCGCTATTTATTGTAAATGACAGACATCTGAAGTTCCCATTTTGCTACATTTTGAAGAGCTGAAGAACTTTAAGTCCATGTTTTGGCTCCATAGGAAGCATCTTAAAGGGATGGTGAAATAAAGAATATAGCGGGAGCCACTCTTCTCTAACATGAGCGCCACCATCTCTAACATGAAATAGCTATGGAATGAGCTACGGGGTGACCCAGCTCCATCTCAGGGAGGAGGACCCTGGGAGAGGGGAGCGGAACTTTGGGGTGGCCAGGAGCATAATGAAGGGAAAATGAACAATTCCAGCTCTGCTGAACTAGACTCACAGTAGGGATATAAAAGTAGGACATTTTCAGGAGCCCCATTATACTAGGATGTCTGGCTATGGCTGAGGCCTGGGAATAAATTTAGGTTGTTTTATCATTCACTAAGTCCCAATAGGGAAGATAATTTTGCTTCTGATTTCAGCTACTGTCAAATGTAGGCATCAAATCTGTTACATTGGTCTCATAATTAAAAAACAAATTGTCTATTTGAGAGAGAACGAGAGAGAGAGAATGCACAAGCAGGGGGAGGGGCAGAGGAAGAGGGAGAAGCAGGCTCCCTGCTGAGCAGAGAGCCCAGTAGCAGGCTGGATGCCAGGACCCCAAGATCATGACCTGAGCTGAAGACAGATGCTTAACAAACATGAGCCACACAGGCAACCCAGTCACATAATTTTTATACACATCCTTTATATATGATTGGACATATTATTTTGTATGATGTGTCCTTAACCAGCCTCTTCTCTTAGGTTTCCTGACTTGACTCTATGCTCTTGGATGAAGCCCGGGATCGCCGGCAGGTTGAGTAAGCAAGAGAAAACATGGGGAGCAGAGGTTGGCTCCTTACCCAGAGGTCAAGAATGATATATATACACTTGAGGGAGGAAGGTTCTGAGCTCATACATTACATGGATAGGCAGACTACTTCCAAAGGTTGTCTTCCTCCTTCCTTCTCTCCCCCTGTCCTTTCCTTCCTTCCTCCCTTCCTTCCTTCTTTCCCTCAACCTCTCCTTTTCTTCCTCCCTCCTTCCTTGTTTCCTTCCTTCCCTCCCTCCCTCCCTCTCCCTATTCCCTTCCTTTCCTTCTTTCCTTCCTTGCACTACAGAAGCTGTATTTGCTCATTATAAAAACACTGAGAAGTACTTAAAAGGTATACAAGGAACACATCAGTTCTCATCTTACCTCCACCACCTTAGGTTTCACTCCCTAGAAGCTATGATTTTTTTTTTAAAGATTTTTTTAATTTATTTGACAGACTGAGATCACAAGTAGGCAGAGAGGCAGGCAGAGAGAGAGGGGGAAGCAGGCTCCCTGCTGAGCAGGTAGCCTGATGTGGGGCTCAATCCCAGTACCCTGAGATCATGACCTGAGCCGAGGCTTTAACCCACTGAGCCACCCAGGAGCCCCAAGAAGCTATGATTGATAATTATTCACCTGTGCCCTTTCAGATACATTATAAGTATGCACATATATTTAAAAAAATTTTATAAACATACATGTAATCATAAACACACAATTGTACTGTTTCACAACAGGTTTTTTAACTTAGGAAAAAAATACCCTTGGATATCTTTCCACACGAATCCAAACAGAGTTCGTGCATTATTCAT